GCTCACCAGCTGCTCCTCAGAAACCCTATACAGGGTTGTTATGGGTTGGAATCGACTCAATGGCACTTAACAACAACTCTCCTTTTGCCATTTTGAGCATCTTCCCACATTTTCCAAAGTTATTCACAATCATCATCTTGAATGATAAGATGACAGATGACCCCATCACTTGAGTGTGTCATAATTTTCTGACCTAACACACAAAGTTTGGGCAGCTACAGTGTTTGATATTACAAGTAATGCTGAGCTGAATCTTTTTGTATTGCTTGTGCTTAAGGCCTTAATACAAATCTCTCCAAGGCACTGGGGATTCATGCACTGGACTACAAGGTTGGCTTGAACCGCAGGGTCAGTAGTTCAAACTCACCAGCCACTCCTTGGAAACCTTATACAGGGTCACTATGAGTCAGAACCAACTTGATGGCTCTTAGCAACAACAAAATAGTGTAGCCTTTTTTTAAACAAAATGATTGTGGAATATCGTTCATCAGCCCAACGGTTAACGATAATTGGCAGATGAGACACCTTTATCCTGCACCTCTGCTACCTGGCTGTGTGACTCAGGGCAAACAACTTTACTTCTCATGCCTGAGTTGTTCCATTTATAAAGTGAACAGATAGGACTCGATAAAGTTTAAGGTCCTCACCAGCTCTAACCTTCCACAATATCTTTCCCTCACCCTCACCTCTAACCAATGAACGTGTCAAGTCAGTCATTAAACGTCCTGTAAGTCACGTTAAAGCCACCTCCTAACCATTTCAAAGCCTACCCTCACCCCACTCTTTGTCCATGCCAGTTGTACTGCCTTTGCACAGGGATTTCTCATCTCAATTATGACAGGGCGCTCCGGAACAGCGAGAGATTCAATTCCAACGTCAGCATAGAAGGCCAACATCAAAAATGGCCTTAAAGGAGAGCCTATGTGTGAAAGCACAGAGTTGGCACAGAGGAGGGGCTTGGTGAATATTTACTGGATTTTTTTCTCCTTCTTCTTCTTCTCTGAAACCATCTGCAAAAGGCACACTGAGAGCTTGCTCTGGGGAGATTGCTGGGAGACCACAGGATGGCATTGGAGATGCTGGAGGTGGCGGATGTGCCCTAGTACATGTGGAGCCATACCCAGACTCTGCTGTGGGGAGACAAAGACTCCACAGCTTCCCTTAAAGTGCTAACAATCTAGAGGGAAGATAGGAACCCCTGCTCACAACACAAGCATGCCTCAGGCAGTGTCTTCAATGGGAAACCCAGATGGAGAACAGAACAATTATCTGAGCAATTCCGGCAAGCCTGCTGTTGAGGAAAAGGCTTAAGGAAATTTGCTCTGCTAGTTTCTGGTGAACCAAAAGGTAGGAACAGCCTGGGTAAGCAAAGTACTTCTGTTCTAGAAAGGCCAGAGTTCTGACCACATGCTGCATGATCCTATGCAAACCCTGAAGCCTCCTGACTCTCAGTATCCTAACTGGGAAAGAACCCTGGTAGCACAGCTTTGATAGGATGTCGGTTCGAATCCACCTGCTGCTCCTCCATCCATAAAGATGACAGCCTTGGAAACCCTTTGGTGCCGTTCTACTGTGTCCTACAGGGCTGATGAGAGTCCACAGCAATGGACTGTGTTTGTTTACTTGTTTATCCTCATTGGTAAAATGGAGGGCTGAGGATGACCAACCTGACCCTAACCTAACCTAACCACATACTGATGGAGTTGTTGGGACAACCCACTAGTTATAGAGTTATAGAGCTATGGTCTTTTAAGGCCTTTGATTCAGTCCCCAACTCATGGTGGCCCATGCACAACAGAATGAAGTGTGACTGGGTCCTTGTGCCTTTCTCATGACGGGTGGCAGATTGGACCAGGTGTGATCACAGGATTTTCAGAAATCGACCACCAGGCCTTTCTTCCTGGTCCATCTTAGTCAGAAAGTGCTTCTGAAACCTGTTCAGCATCCTAGCAGCACACAAAACTTCACAGTCAACCGGACAGTGGCTGTGCATGAGGCACACTCGTCAGGAATCTAACCTGGCTCTCCCACATGACTGGGCAGAAGTCTAACACGGAACCACCGATGCCTCATTCACTACTAAAGGTTGTTGTTAAGTGCTGACAAGTCAGTCTTGACTCATAGCAACCCTATGCAGGGTTGCCAAGGCTGAAAATCTTTGAAGGAATTGAAAATTTCATCTTACTCTTGTGGAGCGGCTGGTGAGTTTGAGCTACCGACCTTGTGGTTAGCAGTTCAGCACTTATCCTACAGAGCCACCATAGACCATTGAAAGTGTGTCTTCTCTGAGTTTAATCCTCTTAAAGGAAATGTTTGGTCATCAGAAGTAGCATTTGCATTGAACTTTATAAGGCGCTTTTATATGCTTGTCTTTTATTTTACATTCAAGGTCCCTTGAATGTGGTAGGTATATCGTTTTTTGCTCCTTTTACACTCAAGGAAACTGAATTTGAGCGTTTAAACAGCTTGATCACAGTTACATTGTTTGGAAGGGCCCGATTTAGGTTCTTCAACTCCCTGGTTCTCTCTTTCACCTACATGCTGCCTTCCCATTAAATCCTTATCATCAAAACATTACTATTACTAACATCAATATTAATAATGTTTGCTATATATGTTTCCTTTTGATCAAGGATGTTAAAGTGTCAAAATAGAAAGGGGGGGTGCGGAGGAAGTCCTGGCATGTAATACCATCAAGTTCATTCTCTCATATTAAGGGAAAGGCGCTGTCCCCATCTGATTTGCATTTTATATTAGTATACAGCAGGAAATATTTAAGTTGACAAATAGGATATTTACTACTGCAACAGATACTTGGCAGTTAGTTTTTAACAATTGTTGCAAATGTGATTTATTTGCTATTATAAAAGGGCATTACTGTGCGAATATGACTCCTGAAATTAGCTTCAGTTTAGCAAGAGGCCTTGACAGCTTGACCTCTTAATATCCTTATAATGATACCATTTACATTCAATGCTTACTCAAGTCACTCATGGATAGATTTGTTTGAGAGGAGTCCACTCTCCGGTGGGTGTATTATGTCTTTTAACCGTACAGAGTTGATGTGTGGGGCACATGTAGGCCTTCTAACAGGAAAAAAAAATGTTTAATCATGTCTTCATGAAAATGTGTTCGTTTCCAACTTCCTACAGTGAAAATGCATTACTGCTAATTACAACATACTCCAGAAGTACAATGCTTCATGTTTTCGCCACAAGACATTTCCAAGGCATGGATTATATTATACAAGAACATGTTTTGATCCTTGGCTTGCAATTTGACTGGGAAATTGGTATAGGGTGAGGATTGGTTGGGCCAGGATCTGTGCCCGTGTCCTCCAGCAGGGAATGGGAAGAGGGTGGACTTGGTGCCAGGCAGAACTGGAGTTAAATCTCAATACTCCCACATGCTAGCTGTGTGGACTTGGGTACCACTCTGAGCCTCTGTTTCTTTATCTGTGACATGGCCATCTGATTTCCTAAAGATCTAAAGATCTGAGGTGTTGCTTGTGAAGCACCAGGCTCACTGTTGTTGATGTCTAGTGCCCTCAAGTCAGTTCCGACTCATAGCGACACTGTACAGGGTTTCCGAAGCTGTAAATCTTTATGGGAGCAGAAAGCCTCATCTTTCTCCCACGTAATAGCTGGTAGTGTTGAACTGCTGACCTTGCGGTTTGCAGCCCGATTTGTAACCACTATGCTACCAGAGCTCCTTTGGCTCACTGTAGGTACTTGATAAATGAGAGTTCAAATTTCACTTCCTCTGAAGGCAGTCATCACTTCATTAGGTAAACCCAGCCTGTAGTTTCTTTATCCTTCAGTGGGACTTGGTTGCCTCCTTGTATTATGCCACATTTTACATTGTGATGTAATTAATTAAATACGGATGCTGCTTCCTTCCCCTCTTCTATGGCAGGACCCCAGACCATAGTTACTTTTTATCCTCTAGTGCCTAGTACAAGGATATGCCATGAGCATTCAACTAAGGATACTGGGGCTGCTTCTGAATTTAATGGGGACAAAATGACAAGAACAAAAAATGATGTCTGCTACGGGAGGGTGGTGAGGTAACACATGACCCATGTTTGCTGTGGTCAGCAAACTAGTAGATGCTCAGTAAATGACTGTGAAAGGAATGAATGAACATTCTCAGTCTCCTGGGAGCTCATAGTAACTTACAGCCTACAGAGGTCTAGTTTTCAAAGTGACTGCATTTTCATTTCATCATCATGTTCCCCTAATAACACTGTGGTACAGTTAGTATACGTGTTCCAAGGTTAACACCATAGTGAGGCAGCGACTCGCCAGCACTCATAGTAAAAATGGAGGTAGAGCTAAGAATTACAGCCCAACCATGAGTTTCCCTCAAGCAGCATATTGAGATTCCCAGAGGCCATAGCTGCTTATTCCAAACTCAGTGCAAGCCACCCTTTCCTATATATTTACTCACTCTTCCCCCTCAGACGGAGCTGCCTTTGTCTCTGCCCCTACTTAGTTCCCCACTATCTGAAGTTTCTGTCCAATTCCGTTTCCTCAATAGAAAACGTTGCACTGACCCCTTAGAACTGGCAGACCACAGGCAGAAAAATCAAAGTCAACACCAATGGTCTGTGATGGGGCTTCTCTGTTAGACTGCCATGGCCAGCCATCTTCATTCCTGTAACCCCACCCCCAACCCTCGGAACTTTGACTCTTCTGAGTAGAATCACATGGGAAACTCGACCCCTCCGGTGAATGATGTAGAAACAGAAGTGAAAATACCAACTCCATTAAGTCCTGTTTAACTCGTTCCGATATGGTTTGGTCTGAATAGGGGTTTTGTTGTTGTTGTTAAGTACCATTGAGTCAGTTCCGACCCGTGGCAACCCTGGATAGGGTTTCTGAGTAGCAGCTGGTGAGCTTGAACCGCTGACGTTGCAGTTCAAACTGACTTTGCAGTTCAGCACATTAACCCACAGCATTCCTCTTTTTAAAAGTCACCCTCACTTCTGTTTTAACCAGGTGTGGGCAACAGACCTTGACTTCTCATATAGTGACCAGCTAGCCTTGACTCAGCTCACCTTATACCTGACAAACGGCCATCTGGATTGCAATTTGAGCACCTTCAAAGTCCCTCACTTTGTTTCAAAGAAAGAGAAAATGAGCCATCTTGAAGCCATGACAGTGCCGGTAAGCAAAAGATGATTTCCCTGGGGCCCACTGAGCTGGGCAACACCCAGACACCACCACTGAGTTCTTGTTAAGTACCAGGCTCTTTGAGTATAAACAGAAGAAATAACCTCAGGCAAATCCCAATGGGAGCCAGGGAGGCTCTCTGGATATATCCTCCGAGGAAAGGGGAGAGGACTTTCCAGAAAGGAAGGAATATGTGTTTGTGGGTTTCCCTCCTTTCTCTCCTCCACTCTGGTCCCTGGGCAAGTAGATCCACTACTTCAGGTATCAACTCTTTCTGACAAAACCCATAATATGCCCACATCTCTTTTCTGAGCTTCAGACACCTAGATCCAATATTCTGCAGGACCTCTCTATTGAGAGCCCCCAGAATGAATCCCGCCCCCCAAACTGCACTCTCATCTGTCCTCCCCAATCTGCACTTCCCCTATACATCCTCTTGATGACTCAGGCACAGGCTGACAGGACACCCAAGCCTCAAATCCAGTCAATAATCAATTCATTCTAACTGCTCAAAAATCTCAGGTCTGTTGCCTCCTCTCCTTCCACACAGCTTTTGTCATCTCTCACAATCACCACTCACACTATTATAATGTTGTTGTTGTTGTTGTTATGTGTCATCTAGTCGATTCTGACCCTTAGCAACCCTGTATAGGGTTTCTGAGGAAGCTGCTGGTGAACTTGAACTGCCGACCTTGCAGTTCAAATGGCTTTGCAGTCTGGCGCATTAACCCACAGCGCCACACCAAGACTTCTCACTGTTGTAATGGTGGTGGTGGTAATGTGCCGTGGAGTCAATTCTGACTCATAGCGACCCTGTACAGGGTTTCCGAGGCTGTAAATCTTTATGGGAGCAGAAAGCTTCATCTTTCTCCCAAAGAACAGCTGGTAGTTTCAAACTGCTGACCTTGCGGTTCGCAGCCCAATTCGTAACCACTACGCTACCAGAGCTCCTTCACTATTGTAATAGCACTTCACAAAGATTCTGTCTCCTACCTCTCCCCCAAACAAACATTACTATCAGTATAGTCAAGTGGTGGTGGTGGTAATGTACCGTGGAGTCGGTCCTGACTCACAGTGACCCTGTATTGTGTTTCCGAGTCTGTGAATCTTTACGGGAGCAGAAAGCCTCTTCTTTCTCCAATGGAATTGCTGGAAGTTTTGAGATAAAGTCAAGAGGGGAAGCAAATTTGAGCATCTGCTTTCCTGTTTCTAATTTTGAAATGACTCCTGTCATTTTGGAGGAAATACCAACAACCCCCCAGCTCTGCTGACAAGGCCCCTCATGATCTGCCTCTTTCCATGCCCCCAGCCTCCATCTCACTGCTGGCCCCATGACTGGAGTGACCACAGCAACAGGACCAGCAATCCTGAGGCTGTTGAGATTTACCAACCTCAGTAGTACCCTGGATCTGGGTAACTAAGGATAATTCTCCATAGGGACTTGGGTTCTTGGCCCAACAGGCTCAGTTGGTCACGAGGAAGGAGAACAGAGATGAAGGGGGCAAAGTGCGCCTTCATGTAAGTGGGATAGTCCAGCATATTGGGGTGTCTAGTCACAGTGACCAATGGTTTCTGCTGCCTGCTCCTACAACCGTGAGGTTCATACTCTTCTGTCAAATGAAGCTCTATAAGAAGACCTCTGGTGAGTGGTCCATTTTCAGAAAAGTAGCTGAGGCTCTTCCAGTTTGGGAGACCCCTCTAGATTTAAAGAGCCCTTGTTTGACTCTACTTAGGACCCCCCTAGTCACCATCCTTGACAAGAACTCTGTATACTCAAGTACCTAGAGCTGTACCAGCTAGGGCTCTGCTCATTAAGAAAATAAGCAGAGCTGAACTAGAGAGGAAAACTACTGTTGAGTGCCATCGAGTCGATTCTGACTCATGTGACAGAGCAGAACTGCCCCATAGAGGTTTCTCAGCTATAATCTATGCAGAGGACCCCTGTTAGGACACTCCTCGGAAACCTTCAATAAGGCCACTACGAATCAGAACCGACTTGACAGCACATACGAACAGCAACAACATCTGTAATCTTTACCTTTACCTGAGAAACCCTACCTCAATGCTAGAGGGAGGAGCAGCTTTAAAACTTGAGTCCTTCTGACTTGACACCCTTAACTCCCCACGGTTTCTAAAAGCTGGAAGCAGAGTTAGTATTCAACACAAGACTTCAAACAGCAATTTGCTACACTTAAATATGTTGCTTCAGAAGGCTGTAAGCAGAACTTGTACTTTGAATTAGAGGCCCTTTCCCATTTCCCCAGTCTTTCCTGTAGGTTTCATTCCTAGCTACAGGCAACATAGGGGAATTCTCCTGTGATCAAGAGTCTTAAAAACGTTTAGGAACTGCCTGCACACAAGAGGGAGGCATTCTGATCTTCAATAATTTAAACGTCTCTACAATCACGGACGAAAAGCTGTGCCAGGTTTCTGATGTAGGGATAAATTGAAATTGCTTTTTGGGTTTTAGAAAGATAAATGGATATTCTCAACATTGTGCCACTGTGTGTATGTGTGTGTGTGTGTGTGTGTGAGAGAGAGAGAGAGAGAGAGAGAGATAGCACAATTTTTTAAAACAGAAGCCTGCACACACGTGCACACACACTACTACTGCAACCAAATTGAAGCTTCGTGGAGGAGTGTGGCCAGCCTGTGATGCCGTCAGACGTATGTATGGGCAGTCCGCTAACCACCCTCTTTGAAGACAGAAGGAAAAGGAAATGCACAGATGAAACCAAAAGGATAATGAGAGCATGGTCAGAATGGAGGCCTAGAAAGCGCTTCCTGTTGGGGCCTATTTCTCTAATAATATGCCATGTAGGGGGAAAGCAAAAACATTTCTGGACACTCAGGAGAGCTATTGTCCCCCATCAGAAACAAATAGCAATCAAACAAAAACACAGAACTGACATTTAGACTCCGTTAGACCAAATAAAGTGGCTTCTGACTCCGTGTCCTCCACAGATAACCACTTGCAGGAGCAAACAAGATCTGACCTGTGTCAGGTGTCTATGTTTGAGAACTTAGCAACTTGTTAAACTTTTAATTAAAGTTCTGTCCTGTTTAGCACAAATTGGTGCCCTTTTCTATCTGTGTTTACTCTTCCTTTTATCTTTCTGACCCTTCACAGTAAAGTTGGTGAGTGACCCAAAGAGACAATCTATGCAAATATCTTCAAAACCACCCAAGTCATTTGTTAAGCATTTTTAATAGCACATGATCTGTAAGGAATGATTAAGTAAAACCTTTTGTGTTAAATTATGATGTTAATAATGATTCTGTCTCCTGTAATTTATTATGAATTCTCAAATGCTTCGGGTTTGATTTTGATAGAATGCAACAACAAGAGAGTCTATGTGATGACTTTATTTTTAGAACTCCTTCTTTGAAGGCGCGCAGTTCCCTACCACTGCTGCTACTGTAATTATGTACAAAACCAATCACTCATTAGAGTTAGGATACATTATCTTCTAGACAGATGAGGCTAAGTAAGCAACACATTAATAATTCAGAGAGCAGTTCATTATGCATGTGGATGCCTGCTTCATAGCTGAAATAAGAACCTCATCAGCCTCTGCCAACCCTTAAACAATAGTTCTGTGTTATTGCAGCCACATTCAAGTTTCCGCTTGTTAAACTGCTGCTTGGATTATTTTATCACACATTCATTTATTTGTGGTCCCTTACTGCCGAGAACAGATTTTGGAAGCTCCTTTTTTTAAGTTAATGATTTGAGCAATGGGTGTTATTAATTCTCAGAATATTATAAACATGATTAATTTTCAGGCAGAGATTTATTACATAAGGATTTCAACTATGTCAACTGAAATGCATCACTGTCAAAACAAGTATCATGGCGAAAATAGAATGTGCTTTGAGAGCGGGTGCTCAGAACAAAATCAATTTAAATTGTGGTGGAAGCAAAATTATATTCTCCAGTGAAAAGGGGTATTTTGAGCTTCCTTTATTTGGCTCGAAGCATTCTTGTTAGATTGTGATTTAGAAAGGTAGTTTAATAAAACTAGACTTCTACCAATAGTATTTTATCTTCTGTTTCTTCTCCTGGTCTTACTAGGAGACAGAGCCCTGGTGGCATAGCAGTTAAAGCAAACCAAAAGGTAGGCAGTTGAAACTGCTGATTCATGGTAGAAAGATGTGCCACTCTGCATCTGTAAAGATTTACAGCTTTGGAAACTCCCATGGGGCAGTTTCCAAGGGAAGACCCTATAGGGTCGCTGTGAGTCAGAGTTGACTCGGTGGTAGTGGGTAATGGGTTTAGTAGAAAAAGCTAACCTCAGAAATTCCTGCATACTCCAAACATGGCCAGCAGGTATATAGAATGATGAGCATTGGTCTGGAAGTCATGGAACATGAATTCTGAGCTTCTCTCTACCCTCAGTTTCCTCATCTACAAAAAGAAGAAATGGTGGCCGAAGCTTCTTTGAGAAATTTGCTTTGCTGGGCCTGTGCCAATGGGTTTCTGTGCCAAGACTGACACAGGCAGCCTTAGGTCTGGGAAATGCTGAGTGAAGGGCATCTTCCAGAACCTTAGGGAGAAGGAGTGTGGTTGTAACAGGTCACATCCTAAGTCCTCATCAGCAATCACCTTAGATAATATGTAGTTAAAACTCTCAGTAAGAATCAACTAGACGGAAGAACAAACAAGATGGCGGATTGGGTGGAAGTGCAATAAGGA